GGCGATCACTATGAGTGGAACAAGGTGGTGACGTGTATCCACAACGTGCTGAGTCAGCAGCGCTGGCTGGAGCACTACGGCGAGGTGGTCATCAGAAACACGAAGAGCGACGCCTGCACCTGCAAGATCACTTTTGTCAAGGTCAGGACACACTCAGGCTGACTTCTTAATCTCCTCCATGTAGAAGATAAAAGTGCGACTGTTCAGGTGTTTCTGGTCCTGCTGTTTGACCACCACGACCTTCTCTTTCTCACTTTCCAGTCTCGCTACTGGAGCTCAGACAACAGTAAGAACGAGGTGCAGGGTGTGGTTCTGGACCGGGCTGGAGAGGTGGTCCATCGGTTTGGAGGCCTCTGGCATGAGGGCATCTTCTGTGACACTCTGCCGACACCGAAGTGCATCTGGAAGCCCAGTGAGTAGCTTCAAGTCTGAGTCCTAACGATCCCCAGTAAACGACCAAAGACAGCTTCCAGCCTCCACCAGTCCTGACCAGTGGCAGTTTGAGCCTTTGTGGAAAAGGCCAGACTGTTTGTGTTGTCCTCTTATGCACATATTTAGATAAAGTTCAATTTCAAAAGAGAAAAATGTGTCCTCCACAAGTTCTAGGCTGAGGGTTGTAGACGTCTCTATTCGATCTGAGGTTCCAGGGGTGTCTTGTCCTTCCAGATGTGCAGCCTGATGACCACTTTGACTTCTACGGCTTCTCGCGTTACGCCAGAGAGCTGAACGAGCTGACTCCGGACCTGAAGGCCGTCCTCCCGCCCACAGACACACGCTTCAGACCGGACCAGAGGTACACACAGCCTTTGGTGTTTCATGGAGTCCTAGTTCTGCACCAGCTTCTTCCAGCTGTTGATTCCTGTCTCTCTTCTGTCCATCAGACTCCTGGAAGACGGGAAACTAGCAGAGGCAGACAAGAGGAAGGACGAGGTGGAGGAGAAGCAGAGGGAGAGGAGGAAGGAGATGGCCAAGAGAGGCGAGGAGCACATCCCCAGGTTCTTCAGGTGAGAACACTGAACATGTCCTGACCTTGTATTCATGATATTTCGGAGGATTTATGGCTCTGATGGAGGACTGACAAGAGGTCGATGTTAAAAACTGGTCAGAATCCAGCAGCAGGCGTCCAGTGTCGGGTGATGACTGGAGGAGTTACAGAGAAGGCGAAGCTCACAGTGCTGATGGCGTCATTATTCACAGGCCACCACATCGTACACTGACCGTTTACTACCGACCGCTATTAGCAGCTAAAAGCTTGTCAGCTGCTGGTGTCGCTGCAGGAGTGACGCCTTTGACTGTCAGCAAACAGAGTGTGGAGCTTTCCTGTCATGTTTCCTGTTGAATGGTGATAGAAGATGATTTCCACTCTCACAGTTGTGGCTGCGTGTCTTCACAGGAGAGCGGTGGATGAGGCTGGCAGGGAGGTGTGGCTGTCCAACGGAACCTACTGGAAGCTCCGCAAAGAGCCGGGCTTTGCCAACACTGAGAACCTGGACCTGTGGTAGAACCCGACACCAGGCTTATGAGCCCAGTCAGGTGCTCGGTGCCATGTTGAAGAGCAACACCGTACTCCTGTCAGACCAGTAGCTTTGAATACACTGCAGTGACTCGACACACCCAGAGGTGGTGCTGCTGAGCACAGGGGCTCTTAGAAGCATAGATGATCCTCTCGCTGGCTTTTTGGTGCCACGTGGAGGTGAGGTGCCACTATGGAACAAATGAAGACTGATTTAGACGAAGCCGGATGTGTGTCCTGCCTGTAACAGCATCACTGATGATTCCAGCTCGACCATCGCTGCCTTTAGAGGATCAGGTTCTTCTGAGGCCTTTGTCAATATGTAAATGTCTTCTGTCATGTCTGTGGGACGGATGTCAGCGTTAGTTTTAACATGTCTGTGTGAGTATTTTTAGTCAGAACTGGTGTCTCAGCTGTGAGGACTTCGTCTGACATGAGTGCTTCCTGTAGAGGAGCACTGGGAGGCTAATTCTGGTTCTGGTGGGGTGTATTACAGGTGAACTGGTTCTGTCCTGCTTTCTCTCTCAGTGGGTCTTATTGTATAAACCTTGTAAAGTTTGTGTTATTGTGGCACATTGGTGACGCCGTTCATCTGACGTGTCAGTGCGCTGGACAGGTGGAGCTAGACGTAGCGTAGCCTCTCTCACCTGTGGGACTTGTCCAGAAGGAGCTGAAGACCAGGATGGGTCTCTGACATTTATGCTCTCAGTTGATGCGATGAAGTATTTTTATTGATGTTTCAACATTTGGATTTTAGTGAGGAAAAGAGACGACTGTTAATCCCTGTGAAACGTTTTTCCCTTAATCGTTGTGTTTCAAATAAAAGCTTCCACAATCAGCGCTGTTGATCTCCTCTGAAGCTTTTGTCCACCACCGACCTTCTGGAGAAGGCAGCAAGATGACATCAGCACACATGGACTCTTACCGCTCTGCATGTCGTTGATCCTCTACGTGGCGGTGGACTGAGTCTGGTCCTGAGGAGCTGCTTCTCTGCTGCTGTCTAGTCTCACCTGTA